ACCAACAATTTCATCTTAAGAAAAACAGGCGCCGCGTCGCCATAAAAATCATTCCAGTGCGTTCACGCAGACCTTCCACCCTTCGTTACTGTCAAGTAGCGGGGCCTCACGTCCGTGTCTGCTCGGTCATCTCGGAGAATCTTAGGGAACCCTGTCTACCCCCACACTCGCTAACACTCGAAACAAGTCCTGTCGTTCAACCCTTCCTTCCACCATTATGGCCTCCATCTGAAATCTCATATTCCCCCGTTTCCGACCTGTGAAATCGCCTGATTTCTTCGATACCCTTTTCCCGTCCAGCCCTCTCCCGACACCCTCGATCGAAGAGGCCCCTGCCTCAGAAGTCACCCCCTCAACTCTTCCCTCCCCAATAGATTCCTACTCTCCTCCAAATCCCTTTCCCCTCCTCTTCCATGATGCCCTCCAACTAATACATTACATGTCCAACTTTATTCCATCAGCAAACGACCGAGTCATAGTTACCATCCCCGGATGTACTTGTCTTTTTTCCGTCCCTCATTCCAATCGATCCCCTCTCCTTCCAACCTTATGAATTGCCACCTCCCTAGATTTCCTCTCCTCTACCCAAACACTTCCAACAGATAATAATCTCAGCATAACACCCGACTCTACTCACACACACACAAATCCACACCAACATTAACACCTACCAAAAAAACGCTACTAAACTATATAATGGTATATGTAATTATATTTATACGTATATGAACCTAAAAGAGGTTCCGATTATAACACAACACCAAAGAATGTATCAATAACTTTTGCTAATTATATTTAATATTAATTAAATTCTCGCTCATTAATTAACGAAATCTCTCCTTTTATTCATTTTAAGTTCTCCCGCGGTTGCACTTTGCCTTCTCCCCGGTCACTTGGATTAAATTCCATGACCGAAAGCCAGGGCATACGAACGCACTGGCATATCTGGTGTTAAAGTGCGCCCTTGTGGCACACTGACCCAGTTGGGCCCTTTGCCTTCTTGATCAAAAAGACAAGAGACAAACAGAGACAAACAGCAAGAAACAGGAAACAAAATGCACACTGTAGACCAGCCATTAAACTCAAAAGTGTGTTCGACTCGTGTGTCCGCTTAGCGGAGCACGAGTTAAGGTTTCCCCTTCGTCCTGCGTTCGACCCCCGATTTGTTAGGAGCCTCAGGACGAAGCGAAGCGCCTCCCGGTTTGTGTCGGTCCTTCCCCATAGCTCCCTC